AAATTTTTTTAAAATTAGTGACAGGAATTGCGAGCATATATCACCAAAGCGCCTAAATCACAGACGAAATTAAAAGAATCTGAATGGTACATAACAATCCTGATGCTTGAGTGGCTAGAATGATTTCTCTGTTAACCAAGAATTGACACGATTTATCTTTCTCGATGGGTATAAAAAAATTTATGCAGGAAGAAGGAGTTTTTGAATCAACAAAACAAGCTACCTATTTCCACTAACTCAATGCAAAATATATCTGTACAATAGACCCCAAAGTGATTGAAAATTAGTTTTAAAAAGTGAAGTAAATATCGCTTTTTGGTTGGCATCAATTTTTCTTTAAAATAAACGAAATATTCAATGTCTCTCTGACAGAGAAAATTGGAACAAGAGCTTAATGAAAACATCAACATCAAGTTGTCATTGCTTTTTTTTTATTTTTTTTTTCGCATAATACCCCATTGCGAGCAGCTGAAAATTCATCGATTTCGTAACCTGTCCTAAAATCATTGACTGGCGTGAAGTTTTATCAATACTCGTGCTTCTCTTAGTTGCGACTAAAATTGCAGGCGACCTTATAAACGATTCACGTAAAATTTTTTTTAAAATAGAAACTGCGAAAACATTCCAAATTAATTTGGACTTCAAAGTTGGCAGATTAAGGTTAGCATTGAAATAAAAGTCAATACAGACATGAATGTTCAAAAAGTATGTAGTCTTTCGCCTTAAAGAAATACGCTATAATATTTCTTTAAACATCTAAGAATTTCATTTCTGCCCTATGCCAAAAGATGATTTAGTGCAATTCTGAATCAAAGTTGGCTGAGGTTTAAGGAACAGAAGAGAGTATAACTTCCTACCTTTGTTTCCTTCCATGGAGCAGTGAAGCCATGCTCCTAACGGAGCACATAATAACAACAAAGATAAAATTAGAAAACTGTTCCCTTCCATTGATCGCTTAGTCACAAGTTTTGGATCTCACGTCCAAAAGCAAGCGCGAAAATTTCACGCATTATCAATGTTTCCCAACTCTTAGAAATATCCAGCACTGAAAAACTGGACTTCTAGGCCGTCGACCGAATATTTTCACAGTTTTTTTTAACCAGAGAATGACAATGTTAATTTTTAGCCCGCGACAGATCCGTAAAGAAGATCAACGGAGCTGGGCTTTAAGTGAGAAAACCGCCAACTGGAGTATAATGCGTGCCATGCATTCAGACACCTACTTATTGTATAATTTAACCTTATTCATCCATTCGACCAATAACAAAACGTCTCCTAAAACTTGTCATAACACACGCGAAAATTCAAACAGTGTGATGAAACTTCACAAATGTTGAAAAGCTGAGGTATTCCGTTTCAGCAGAAAGGCATGAAGTAACAACAAAAATCTGAGTTTTAAGTAGGAGTTTTTAATAAAGATTCAAGTTTCGAGAAATTACTGCCAATTACACTTGAAATGAATGCTGAGCTGCATGAAATTCATATATTTTTTATTAAGCAGCGGTCCCTGTCTAACGAAACAAAACAATTCTGAAAAACTTGAATCAAAACAGAAGCTCACTCAGCGTGCTTAATTTCCAGTCTTTGATAGGATTGTGTATTCTTATTTTTCAGGAAACCTTTGGAAGGTTCACAAGGTTGTAAAATGAATAAATCGTTTGCAGTGGCCTTTCCAAAAATTTTTTGTTTCCGTGACCGCAGTGTTTTCTCAAGTCCCTACTATGTAATGAAACAACAATCGCTATCACTCGCTTAATCAACTTTCTCATGGTGTTATATATTTTGCGGGCAGATTCTGTTTACTTCATCTTTCATCAAGTATCCCTTTCGAAGTACTCCATGAAGACGATTGGCATTCAATTGTTTTTAACCAATGTAAAATTTCGGCGAAGAAATCTCAAAAACGATGGCGTTCTTCCACTATAGCCGTTTCAGATGTCCCGCGGTTTCGGCACACAACTTTACAAGCTCACATCCATTATGCAGTTAGCCATGCAGTCTAAATTAGGCCAAATCCGTTGGAAACCCTGTAGTTGTTATTGATTGGGTTAAAATCTCTGTGTGCGGTTTCCCTTCAGGCCTAATTTTTAGCTTTG